ATTTCATATTTCTTATAATTTGTAAGATGCAACCATATTTAAAACTCTTCAAAAATATATGTGAGTTTCACCAAAAGGATGAATAAAAGAGTTCTAAGGTATATTGAAAGGATACAGTATGCGTGTGAGTTGTAATAACAGTTACATCGTGCTTCATATTTTAATCCCGCAGGGATTGCTCTAACAGCTTTTTATATACAATGCTACTATGCATATTGTTTAGAGTTGTTTCAAATAGTATTAGTCTTCAGTATTCATTTTCGTTTAAAGATATTAATTTACATTGGTATTTATAGGTGTAGATTCATGGATGAAACGATTTGGTTCAGAAACAGCATTTCAAGTTGCGCGTGACTCGAACAAGTTCCAAGATACGCGCCGTGGTTGGGCTCAGTCTCAAAATCTGGAAAACCTTCTCTACCCATCGGCAAGAAAGTATGCACATCTCAGTTATTTTCGTCAAATCGAAAGTGATACATGCGGTATAAAACCATCTGAGTCGGCGATTGAAGAACGTATCTATGGTGGATCAGCTGCCATGCCCAACTCATGGCCATGGGTATGTCTCGCTGAAACAAATGTGGTTTCCATATCTCTGTCATTTTTTTTTCATATTTTTCAGCAAGTATTCTATGAAGAAGACATACCGTGTGAAGATTCGGACCCATCCGGCAGTTGTACATCGAACTGTGGGGGTTCTATCCTGAATTCCCGCTATGTTCTGACAGCGGCTCATTGCATTAATAAGAAGGACCCGAATAAGATAATTATCAAAGCTGGTCTGCATAATTCACAGTCCGATGATGAACAGGAACCTAGACGTCAAGTAAAGAAGATTCGAAGAATCATTATGCATCAAGGTTATAATTCCGAAACACTAGAAAACGATTTGGTCATCCTTGAACTAGCTGATCCCTTAATTTTTAATGATTATGTCCAGCCAGTTTGCTTGCCAGATAGCGATGTCAAAACAAATTCATTATTGGTCGTACTTGGTTGGGGAGATGAAAAGGCAGGGAGCAATGCTCTTTATTTATTGAAACAATCTACAGCTACAGTCATGGATGCTTGCAAAAATGTCGACGACTATGACAAAACGAAGGTGTTTTGCATCGTGGATCTTACGCATAAATCTTCAGTATGCAAGGGTGACAGTGGTGGTCCAGCACTTCAGAAACATGGTGGCCGATGGGTTATCGAAGGTGTACTCAGCCATGGAGATGACTGTAAAGCAGAGCCTGGAGAGTATCAAAATGTCTTTGTTCGAGTGTTTGCCTATTTACCTTGGATCAATAATATCATCGACGGCTAAAGCATATTTTCTGACTTTAATCAAACTGAAATGAATGCGATTCATTCGCTAGTTTTATTGTGACTTGTTCTTCAGTTCTCATTTAAACCTTATTCGTATATTTGAGTAGATTTTGATGAGTTACGAAGTTATCCCTATATTCTTACACCTATGATCTTAGCCTTAAAATCTCATATCTATCATAATACCTTCATATCTTAATATCTACGTCGCTGAACCTTTCATTTTAAATCTATACTTTATTAGAAAATTTTTTTTCTTCTTTAATAAAAATCTGACTTTTTCTTAATGGAATTCAATATCTCTACGAAACAAATGTATATGCATAAATCTTTTTATAAGCGTCATGTATCAATTAATTTAGTACGATTGTAAAAAAACAGTTGAGACTTACGAAACGAATCTTTTCATTAGTAAGCAGAAAATTACATATTTTTGAAAAAAAGATTATGTGAAAAATAGTATTCCAAATTTCTTTGTTTATGTTCGACTCAACTTTATCATCAAATTATAAGTTCAGAAATTTTGTAAGGAACATAAAAGAAAGAAAACAAATATATAGTTTTCATAACATATCAGTTTGATTATTAGAGGAACTTAAGAGAGGAAAATGTGCAAACAGACGAAAAACGCAGATAATAAAAGAGAATATTTAGCATTAGTATCGCTATTGCTTGTAATTTATGCTTAAAGAGAACACAAGGAGCTGTAATTGATAAGGTGCCTTATTTTCTAAATGATTTTTGTGTCTATTTCTGCTATTATTGAGCATAGATGAAATCGATCTACCGATAATATGCCGATCTGCAGGTATCAGATTGATCCTTAAGAGCTATAACAAACACTCAATAACTGATAAAAATAAGATCTCATACTGTGTATTGAACGAATTAAACGAGTATCAAATATATTTCAAGTTATTTAGAAAACATTACTGCATACAAATCTATCTAGTCCTGTGAATGCGTTTTAGCTAGTCTCAAAATTTCGTAATAACGCCATTTTAACGATAATATCTGATTTAAACGGTGTTAATTTGTAATCTTGCGGTCTGTCCACGTAATGCTCCATCTTTTCGTGACTCCGTCACGATTTTGTTCGTTTATGAGTCTGTTGACGTTTAAGCAAAAGAAAACTCAAGAACCGTTCACACTTAGTTTTTTAGGAGAAAATGAGCTGAACAAAATGTGACATTTTCTGTTTCGTCACACTTTTCGGAAAAAAAAGTATTTGTGAACAGTTCCTTAGTTTTTTTTTGGTCGAACGTCAAGAGACTCACAAAACAACAAACTTGTGACAGAACCACGGGTTACGTGGACACGCCGCTTAACGAATTAAAACGAGTTTTTCTCAAAGGTTTCGTCTGTCTGGCTTGTCAAACGATAGAGAGAACTGCACGATTTGGTGAGAGGTCGACGGTTGTTGAAGGGACCGAGTGACAATTGGTGTTGTTTCGCGCATCGTTCACGAGTCTTCACAGCACAAGAATAGAAAATGAGAGCGCTTTCTGAGAGAATTTTAGCACATAAAAATTCTCTCAGACAATTCTGAGACGAGCTCAAAGGTTCGTAAGAGGACTCAGTCTCCATCAGTCCAAAAATCCTGAGTCTACCACTAACACTTACCCACACCAATTAAAAAAATAATAATAAGCATGTTCTATAATTGTAAATGTTTTCTATTCAATTATGTTGGTTAAATTATTGCCATCATGAATTTATTCTATGTTATAATACTATTTCTCTTGTTTTGGTGTTTGAAAAAGTATTCGTTATCATCCAGTTTCTTTTTGTTTTTCTTGTTCTATAGACAAAAGAGAATATTTATGCTTAAAGAGAACACAAGGAGCTGTAATTGATAAGGTGCCTTATTTTCTAAATGATTTTT